TTTTTGTTTATTGACGTTGTGGCCAGCTGGTTTGTATCCACTTCATTAACTATCCTACAAATAGCTCCGACGGGGTGAACCAAGAGAAATCTGATCTCATCGATCAGGCGAATTTGAGACACAAATTGCCCGTGTCCCCACCCCTCGCGCAGTATGGAAAGAAAGCGAGAGAGAGAGAGAGAGAAGGCGATTGTCACAAACAATGGACGGTTTTCCCAGCGTTAGTTCTTTTCCCGCCCTACTGGGTATAACTTCGTTTAGTCTGACCAACGATTTGTTAAAGTAGAGTTACTTAACACGCTGATTCCAATCACGCAAACCAAACTGTAAGATTGGGCAATCCACGGTAATGAATTACCTGACGAGCCCCTGCGCTCCAGTACACTTTCGTCATGCGGAAACGTTCACCTTTTGATCAACAACAGGTAGACGAACTACTGGTCAAACTCAGAGGACAGGCCTTGAAGACAAACGGCATGCTAATGTTCGCTACGAGCGTCGCGAATAGTTTCTTTACATTCTGCCGTCTTTCGGTCAAGGAAGTAAGAAAACACTGAACTTTTCATTAGGTGGATGCAGAGAGCACAGATGTCCGAGGTTTGTCAGCTCTCACAAGCAGTTACACTTGGGTCGATATGGCTCAGCTGTAACACCCTTTGGGCGCTCAGGCGTCATGCCACCCAAAGGAAGCCCGAAGCCACCCAAGCCCAAACAGAACCAGTCTAGATGCCGGAATTGGGTTCGAACCACGGACCTTCTGCTCAGTATGTTTGAGACTCTTAGTGTGTTCAGCAGGCAAGTACGTATCACTTTCAGATATCTCTTGTGAACGATATGGTACACGTGCAGACAAAAAGAGGTCCGTGGAGATAAATATGAAGTTTTGTGTCAGTTGTTGCTGAGTTCTACGGTTTCCCGTCAGCTTACACCACCCACACCTAAGCTAGTCTGGACCAGCCGTTTTGAAAGTTTCATGGGTCCGAAAACCACCATAGGGGAGTAGTCTGGTGTCTGGCATCTTCAAGGTTCCGTCACGCATGTGACATGTGGTGAACCTTTATAACCTTGATCGGTCTCCGTGATCTTGCGTTTTTCACTTTTCTAAAACTGAATAAGAACCCAGCTGAATCTCTCGTTTGTGATGTTCTCAGAGCTGTCGACGGATTTTCAGCAACCTTATTAGTAGTACATCACAAAGATGTACATGTATCGCGATATCTGGAATATCGTAGCGACTGAAACATGAGGCGGTCTGGTGCAGCACATTCAGTTGCTTGGACACATCACAAACGGGAAATTTAGCTCGGTTCCAGGTGAATCTCTCGAAAAACCAAATTTGTTTGCAAATGAGTGTATATTCGCTAATTTCGTGCAATTTGGTTTCAAGTAGGTTGACGGAACCTCGGGGAATGCGCCTACCTGATGAGCCCTAAAAAGGGCGAAACCGGTTATGGGCTGTCGAGGAGTTTTCAGTAATCTTATGAGTAGTGCATTACAAAAAAAATGAATAAGAACCATCATTCACTGTTATCAAGGCATATCTTTGTGTACGAAAAATCAATTGTGAGTGTCCGGAACTCGATATCCCGATCTTCAAATTCAACTGTAGGTTTTCTCGATCAAGGGTAGTATGTAGTTATCTAATACTTGAGCAAGTCAAGTCAAGTCAGAAGTGGTTTTCCAAATGATTTGAGTGAGCGATTGAGCCGACACAATCTCTTCGAAGTGCCAGTCCAATAATCAGTCTCGGTCAATAGCGCAGGATATTTTCACTACCATGTTCCAAAAAGGGGATTAAATGAACTTTTGGGAAGCAAGATATTGCCTCTCTTTCGACTCCGTGGTCTTTTTCTCTCTCTAAAAGGTTGCAACGATGGAAATTGTGTATTCCCAAAACTGGTTACTGGGCCTTCCTTTTTTGAACGGTTCCTCAAGGGACTACTACCATAAGAAAACGTCTGCTGGTTGTGACAAGGTCCCGCTGTAGTTAGAATTCTACCTGTGCAGAAACTGAGTCCCCCGCACCGCAAACAGTAAGAAACGACTGGTGCAACTTCGCCCCTAACAGCGCTAACAAAACTCGGATCGAGTTTTTTCCTCTGCGTTGTGAACCAAACAAAATAATTGTTTCTGGACTGCCCGAAATGAAGTGACGCAAATGGGAAATTCAACTACCACCGAGTGTGTACTTTAGAGGAGCGAACTGTGAGATGAACAAGCTGGACCACACGTGTATTGATCATGTAGCTTTCGCATAGCAACTGGGACAGGATAACTGACGTTCCGACATTTTTTCAGGCTCTGTGCGGTTAACCGGTTGAAAAGTTTACATGTGGGATGCGAGGTGACAAAACAATGTTAGGACCGACTTGGGAATGTTGTCGACACCAAACTGAACACAACACAAAAGCGTGCACACAGCACGTGTTAGAAAAACGCTGTACGCATCAGCTGATCCTCTCACGTGACCGAATTTCTGTGTGTTATGTTTATGGTGGGAACTACCAGAGTGGAGCGTGCTGAAAACCTAGCGGAATTCAAAGTTTATCTGCTAGCGAATTCAAGCTGGGTCATTTTGGGATGACCCAATTGAGTCGATATTGTCCAGATTAACCGTTGTTTGAATAAAAGAAAGCAAGAAACAAGAAGAACAAGGAGTTAAGAGATCTTACGCAGACACTGAAAACGGATGGTGCAAACGGCCTTTCTTTTGTCAATAGAGAATAACATAAATTAGGGACTCGTTTGGAACTCAGTTGAGTGTTCCGTGGAAACCAGACTGGCTTACAAGTTGGCGTGGTGCACACACAATTTTGAGTCAAACAGAACATAGGATTGACGGAAACTCGGGGACTACGCCCAACCTGATGAGCACTAACAAGAGTGAGGCCAGTCGTGGGTCGTTGAGAAGTTTTCAGCAACCTTGTGAGTAGTTTCTTTCAGTAAAGGTCACCTTTGCATGAAATTCAAGGAGCCATGTTAGAACTGACTCATTCCCATCGTGGACCTCATCACTTCTAACGAATTCGGAGATCTGAGACCACAACATTCGTGACGATAGGGACACTAGCAGCAAACTTACCAGCAAACGTTTTGTACAGAAAATAACGGCAAACACCGATAGACCCATAGCACAAGAAATTCTAGTGAATTAAATCTTGAATAGGTCTAAAGAAACGCGCGTGCACTACTCATCGTGTTTAGTATTTCTGAACGATGTATGTCATCTCAAGACACGTGTATCTTGTCAGCTCCTGAGTAAATTTGCTGAACACGCGCCATTCGTTTAAATAAACGTCCACCTAAATGTTTTGGTTTCATATGCAATAGTCTAATTGACTTCCGTAGACCATCGAAATTCATGTCACCCTTGTCTATCGATCGATCGATCGATAGACTACTACTACTCACAAGGTTAGCGAATATACACTCATTTGCAAACTAATTTGGTTTCTCGATAGACTCACCCGGAGCCAAGCTGAATCTCTCGTTTGTGGTGTTCTCAGGCAACCGAATGTGCTGCACCAGGCCGCCTACGATATTCGAGATATCGCGATACATGTATATCTTTGTAATGCACTACTCATAAGGTTGCTGAAAATCCGTCGACAGCCGACGACCGGTCTCGCCCTTTTTGGGGCTCATCAGGTAGACGCAGTCTCCGGGTTTTCGTCAATCTTATGTTCTACTTAATGTCGCAGTATATTTTCATAAAGGAAACTACTCATAAGGTTGCTGAAAACTGTTCGACAGCCCACGACCGATTTCGCCCTTCTTGGGGTGAAACTACGATGCCTCGAATATCGTGTCAACTGAAACATGAGGCGGCCTGTGTGCCACACATTCAGTTGTAGAATATCATAAAGGTGAGAGATTCGGTTGGGTTTCTCGTGAAAACCAAACTGACTTGCAAATGAGTGTATTTCTCGAAGTCTTATAGCACTTTGAAATATAAAAAACTTGACCAAGGGAATACAGGTCATCTGACACACAGAGTGGAACAGTTATCAACACGTATTCAAGCACAAAGTTTCACGCATAATTAGGAGGCTCAAAGTGGCAAGTATGTACCGCAATCTGTCAGCAAAATGACTCCCTGAAAAAAGGACACTCCCCTGGAGAACCAATCGTCTTAAAAACCTACTGTCCTCGGAAGTGTCTAAAACAAATATTTTCCACTTGATTTCCTTTTTGGCTTGAGAATATTGTCAGTTGTGTATGTCATGGTTGTACGAGGGCTGGGATACTGCCAGGGTGCCCACACCTGGACAGGAGGACGAGCAAGGTCCTCATACAAGGCCTTTGACTCAAAAGCTTAACCACAAGACAGCGGTGTTGGGCTGGAAATGCAAGTATATTACCCTTTTTTACGGAACACGTCGCCACACATGTTCCAACCCTCAGGAGACTGTGTTTGTCATACCTCTACCCATGGACCAACCTGGTATGAGAGACTATGGTTGTCGCGCCCCCCAGTATAGCTCAATGAGTCGCCGAGGTACACAAACCGCCACGCCACCATAAGGTACGGTCTTTTCGTGAGTTGTGTTACTCGGTTTGTGGAATAGACGAGTAGAGTCACCGGAGACGACTTTTATGACATCATGGATAACAACTATGACAATCGACAGTCACTGTGTGAATCGATTTTTCATTTAATGAATACTGTGGAAAAATGATGTAAATAGTAGCTTCTTTCCGGCTTTTTTCGGTTTAGTACAACAAGGGGGACATTGAACAGCAGCCGGAAGCAGGCTGGATAAAGGCCGGGCAAACCGAAGGTTTCAAAGCCAGAATTTCGACGGAAGGTTCCTCGTTGACATCTGATTGGTTAACTTGCAACGCAGAATCAGATTTCCCGGGAATTTAACAAGCAAAGAGGCGCCAGAAAATCGATTACGGACCTTAGACGACCATACGGTTGTAAACAGAACAAATTTGAGGGCTCAGTAAGTAAACTGAATGACGGAAGCATTTTACGAACCAGGACGTATTCTTCAATGAAGGATACTGTTGTCACGTTAGCTGGTGTACTTTTGCATTCCTCTGTGCAAAAAACCGCCCGGCTGTTTTTGAATGAACATCTGAGGAAAGTTGAGTCGAGATCAGATAAGTCCCCGTCAGAAGGCAGGGAAAGGGTTAGACACGAGTACAACGTACATGGCGCACGGAAGCAATTCAGCACGATATTACACATGAGATTCATCTCATGGGTTTACGGTACAAGGCAGGCCGGAACATCAGATCAAACTGAATCGAAGTTACCAAACAGACGAAAAATCGGAAATGGTTGCCCCCTACAACGTAACCTTCAAAGATTCAAACAAATTCAATGTGATATAATAGGTGTAGACTAGCCCACCACTGAGTCAGGCATAGAGGCTGTAACAAGATGTCTGGACTGAAGGGCAGTACTGCAAAAGAATCCTCAGTCTGATTTACCTATGTAGACCGCGTTAAATTTCGAAACATCTGACGTCCAACCTAAAAGTACAGGAAGGTTTGAGGTGCTTGCTTGATGACATCCAAACAGGATGTCGAAGCCTGACTTGTCCCTTGGAGCACGAGAAACTAGACTTAGAATGATAGGAACAAGAGGGAATTTCTGTGGGTTGGTTCTCTACAAAAACTGACTATGTGTCTTGAGAAGCCGTTTGATGAAAGGTTGATAAATACCACACATCAACACAGGGAAACAAGAGGTAGACCAGATATCTAAGTCAGTGTATCTATCGCGGACTTGAACCAATGGCTGTGTCGTCCGCATGCCTGTAACCAGGTTGGGCAGATGACACCCTAGGAGCAGGGAAGGTTGGCGCATTGAAGCACTCAAGTTGTTATGCGGAACAAACGAGTGCAGGGATTCCAGCTAGTAAAGCAGTCAGAGATTTCGAACAAGAAGTAAGTTCTGTCGCGAATCCACTAAGCTCAAACTGAGGTGTTTTGACCAGTCTAAGGGAAGTAAATGAGCTTGTCATGGTAACAGACTCTGTGCGGACATACTGTTTTACACTTGCCCCCCACTGCCGCATGCCCTAGTGTTCTACTGCTAATTCGATCGCTTTAAGAGGGTTGTCCTGAAATGGACACTTTCATAAGAACTGAATTATCATCTAGCACGCTAGATTCCGGAAACGCCAATGCTCGATCAGATTTCCACATTCTAATGAAGATCGTGTCCATTATACGAAGCCAAGAAACGTTGTAGGGCTGTTCTAATTTTTGTGGTAATCACCAACGAAAATTCATTGAGGAGTCTCGTTGATGCCGGTATTTTTCAACAAACATCAAACAGGTGATGCGCATTGCTTCACTTACAGGACGATTCTCCTCTATTAGGAGAACCAGCACCGAACGTAACGGGACTACATAACAGCCAATGGAATAACCGTTTTCGTTGAGACAGATTTCATTGGTTGTTCTTCACTCGTCCTTGAAAGATGAGTGGTAGCCTTGGTATCACTTTTTTTGACCCGCATGTACGCGACAGGGATCAATAGATCAGATGGTTTGCACGTTCATATACTTTTTCTGGCAGAGTGGCCAAGTGCACCAGTCTATCAATCGGCCATCCAGACCGGGGTTCACGGTAATAAGAAAGCGTTTAAGGAGGCTGTGGTCCACAACAAAATGTCCTATCTTGTGATCACCATCCTTTAAAGCTCTCTGTTTTGATCATTACCGTTCACTCATTGAGAAAATGGTGTTGGGAACTAATCAGCAGACTCCCTACAAAGTTGCCCCTTTGATACATGAAAATCACTAAACTGTCATGCTTTATCGATTGCTTTAGTTTGCTGATGAAGGTTCTCCATGCGAACCTGAAGCCGTTCGACCATTTTTGAGCAGTACAAATGAAACAGGGTAAATGCTTTTCTTGATTGGATACTAATCATAAGATCGCTGATTAGAGAGAAATTTTAAATGCATCGTTGTCGAATGGAAGTTAATCAGGGCGATTCTACACTTGGATTTAAAACATACATCGTTTTTTAATCCCGAGAACTAAATGGAACAATAGAGACCGTTCCTCAGCTCTTAAACTGGCATGCTATTTGCTACGAGTGATTTCCTCCCAAGGGAATCACTTTTACGTAGGCTTTTGAACCCTCTGTGGTATTCACCAAAGTATCTTACATCGAATTGATCCGTGCGTTCTTACTCTGAAATTTGCCTGACCAAAATGACTGTTTTTGAAAATATTTCCTCACACTTTTACAACTAAAATAAACAAATCAGGGCACCTGGAAGTGGATGAACGTAGTGATCCGAAATCGTCAGAATGACAGCGGATAATTTATGGAAATGTCAACCAGAATATTGTGTTTCAAATGCGCAGAGCTTGGTTTATCGATCCGGTGGCGATCGATTGGACCGCATTTGAAGCACACGGTGAAGCAGTTATGATCGATTTGGTTAGTCAACGGCAAATGCTTCAGTGTGTACGTCAGAAGAAAGCCAAGTTAGTTTCACGAGAATTTCCGGTTAGAGTATGGTGAGGTTAAACTGATCGCTTGATGAGTGTTTCATATGTTGGTGCGCTGGTTTCAAAGTATTTCGACAGAAATAGAGCGCCTCAGTGAGAGGTGCTTCAAAAAATATCCTGGCCTGCTCGTTGCGTTGGGAAAAGAGTTATTCCGCATATCACTAATGAAAAGTGCTGGAGTTTGGTTGCTCGGATGGCGAATTGGTGAAAATGCGGTAGGTTTTGTTACTCGGTTCGTTTTATTACGCACAAGGCTACACAGTAAGTCTACTGAGCGGATTCTAATAGATGTAGTGACGCACAGTGATCAACGCTAATCAAGGCACCCCTTGTCAGACCAGAATATCTAAACTACAACCTCGTGAGGTAGTAATGCCGCTAAGAATGGTTGAGTTGAAAACACAGGGGTAGGCTACTGGATGCATAACCATCTGCTTTGGGGTCCGAAGAACCAAAGTGGGCAAAATTACCTGAGGCAGGGAACGTGTGCCTTAACAGTAAAACTCGAGAGTATCTGGCACGAGGAGTAACCTAAACACAAAAAATACATCATCCGAAAGCATAAACGTCGAAAGATTATCGGTTTTCAGGCATATATCAAACGGTCACATTAGTTACCGAGATCACATTTCAAAGTCAGTATTGACGTTTGCTGTGCAGAGTGAGCAAGCAGCGAGATGGCTCAGTGATTGGAGCGCGAATGTACTGATCGGAAGGTCCGTGGTTCGAATCCGACCTCTACCTCTTGACTCCCCCTGTCTAGGCTTGGGCAACCTGGCACTATCCCAGCCCTCAAGCTTCCTTCTGGTGGCACGGCAGTTAGGCACCAATAGGGTGCTACAGCTGAACGATATATATATATAACTATACATAGTATATTATATATGTAATGTAATATATATATATATATAACCTATTCCTCCCATTCTATACATAAATGGACAGAAAGCTTGCACTGTTGGACTTGCTGCTTGTCTCGTCAATTTGTTCCCCTAAAAATCTTCTTAGATAAACGGGGAAAAGCGTGAATCGCAGAACAACTTATTGATTGTCTGGTTTCACGCGACAAACATCCGCCCTAATCTCATCTCCGTCTTTGTTTGCGTGACCTGCACTTTTCGAGGAGAATTCACTTTTCCTGTAACCCTGCAAAACGCAACTTCAGCCGCAATCAAGCAGAAACTTTGGGAACAAGCGGTTATTCTCACACACAGTACCCTAGATAACAAGTCTCGTAAATGCTCGAATGACGCTGACGATAAAATGATCACTCAACCGAAACTCATTTTGAATTGAAGTAGACGTCTTCAAACACTTCAGTTTTGAAAATGAGTTCTGAAGATAGTGAGACGATGGAGTGCATGCAGCGATCTTTACGTGATCATTCATGGGCGAGGACTGCTCGAGGACTTTTGCTACAGTGGCTTACGTTCGGAGTCTCCCTCAGGTCACCAGAACATTTTTGAGATTCTTTTCCTGTTCACTATGAATTCATCATCCATATGGGGGTGCGATTTCCGACACCGGTTAGGTTTAGCCACCATGCTACAGAAGAACCGCAATCTAAATTTCGTATTTTCTTCCAATATTTCGGGTTGAATTCTCCGACAAGATGAGGTGCAGAAACAACTAAACATAATACTTATATTGATGACTTTCTCGAAAAAAATCAATACACGGCCATTTTTGTAGGTAGTGCGCATAATGGGGGTGACTGTAAACACACACAAAAACTTAGTAAAGTTATACTAAATATTATCGTAAAAATAACTAGGTAAACTCTTCAGAGACTGCCACCAAGAGGGCTACAGGGATATGCCGGTAGTTATCTTAGAAAAGGCTAGTAAAGGCTCCTAAAGCAATGTGCACACATTGATGGTCATAAAGTCGAACGGCAAAAGAGGACCACTTCACAACATCCACGAAAGAAGAAAAACACCCCCCGAGAAGTTCAAAACGAAGTTTGGTTTCCCTGTCGCTTACAGTGGTCCTCAAAAGAGTCAACACTGCACGCCCATGATCAGCTGCGGTCTGTTTTGTACTTCATCAGAGAAAAAGTCAACATTTCACAACCGACAAACCTCCTTCGCCTGCTCAAGCAATGATCCGGTGCTCCAAGTAGTCACTTAGCCTCCTCCGAGGGCCACCGCTATCGAAATCATGACCAAGGTGGGGGGATTCGCTGAACCTCCACACAGGTGATTCTTCTGTCAATATATGTCTGTTTTGCAGAATTCTGGAATTGTTTGACTGCTGTACGCCTCTAGTCAATTTTTTCCTATTTAAGCAATAAAAGTATATTGTTCTAGTAGTGATGCACTACTCATAAGGCTACTGTAAACTCCTCGACAGCCCAAGATCGGTTTCGCCCTTCCTGGGGCTCATCAGTTAGGCACAATCTCCGATTTCCCGTCAACATTATGTTTAAGTTGAACTCAAATTGCACAGAACTAGCGAAACACACTCATTTGCAAAACAGGTTGGTTTTGGGGGTCACTCACCTGGAACCCACTTGAATCTCTCTAAAAACATCATAAACGAGATATACAGCTCGGTTTGCAGATAAGTGTATTTCGGCAGTGTATGGTTCTGTTTCATTCACCCATTCAAAATTTCACATCCAACTTGGTGCGCTCGTGGAGAAAGCAAGAAACACTTTTTCTATTTTCAAAGTTGGGTAGAGCCGTGAACTTCTGGATCGCGGGACAAAGACCAATTTCCATCTGTTTGTCAACCAGCGTACCAAACAGCTTTTCGTTAGTTTCATCAGGGTGAGCACGAATCTACCTTGTCTCATCTTTGCGTCGCGTTTAGACAAGATGAACAAGGGCGACAACGTTTATGCATAAATGTGCAAACGCCGATCCTTTCGCTTGTGAATTGGCGACGGAAGTAGGAATACCTACGTGTGGCCGCTATCCAGCGCTACAAATCGAACAGCCTCGTCCCAGTTACCACCCCGACATGCAACAGTGCTAGCTTGACGACGCTGATTTCCAGGGTGATATTGTTCCTCCCAGTTTCCGGGATTTAATGTTATGACATTCCGCAAAGATGAATGGCTGGCTGTACAGCAAGTACGTCTGGGCGTTTATTAAGTAG